AAAGGCTGCCCAGACGAGCCAGAGTAAGATAGGAAGCAGAAAAGTCAGATAAAGCTTACGCACCAAGATTCCCAGGTTGCTCACACCCGACAGACAGAGGTGCAGTGATGCAGCCCGTCCATGCACTTTGGAGTTGCAGTCGCACCCGCATTTACTCCCATGCGCAATTGCATCGCCTTTGCGCGTCGAGTTCTGGGTGCCCTGGTACTAACTACACAGTAAGTGCTGGGCTGCCAGGCTGCCTGCTGACTTCTGGGATACTAGGTGGGATCCTTGGGGGGGTGATGTCCGTCTGCCCGTCCGCATGTCCGGGGAGCCTCATGTTTTACCTTATGTATAATAAGCTCTGTTATGATTAACCTTGGCCTGTCATCCATCCTCAACTGATCCATTATTATCCTGCATGCACCTTAACCCGTCCTGCTCGCTCGAGAGCATGCGCACGATAGGCCTTGCCTCCATCTTTTTCCTGTTTCCTCCTCCAACTCCACCTCCCCTCATTTGCGAATTTCAGGCTAGAGCGAGCTACCAGGTACACGGCCAATAGTACCGTCTTGTAGCTGTCCAGGTGGGGTGGTCTCCAACTCAGCGATTCCCCTCTTGGGATCCCCTCCTCCACAACCCCAGCGCCGACCCGCATTCCCATGCTTGGCAATCCCCAGAAAAGGTCGACCGGCTGACCTAACAAGACCAGGGCCAGCTAGGATACCTAGACCGACTGAAGGTTAAAAGTCTCCCAACGGAATGAATCAAGACAAGGTCCAGGTCTGCGGGTTATCCAAGAGTCGGTGTTGGTTGGACTTACCACCAGGTCAACAATCTAGGTGAATCCGCATCCGACACATAAAAGAAGAAGAAGAAGAACCGAATCAGCGACATTCCGAGGTGACCGTGGTCCAGGCCTGCCGATCCTGCCTCTGCCATCACCGAATCTGAATTTGATGTCGGTTGAGCATCTCTGGCTGCGCTGCCCAGAACCCCACCGAACCCGAGCGCATTTACTGGGCAAGCATCCCATCCCATTTCGTCGTGGTCTATAGTGCTGCTGTTGCATCGGTCGCTCTTTGTCCTTCTGGGCTGCCAGACGTGCAGGCAAAAGAACTGTCAAGACTGCAGACTGGAACGCTACCTGGGAAACATGCAGCGGACGCGTCTGGCATGAATAATGACATGTGGGAAGGGGGTGCACTTCCTCGGCTGGAGTGCCTCAATGTGGCAACGTACGTGTGCGCACGGAGTCGGGTACGGTACGGGCTACGCACGCGGTCTCTACGTGTACAATCCCATGCCCCGGTTGCCTCGTCGTTGCTGCAGTTCGGGCGCGAGCATCGTGGTCCTTACGGGCAGCTAGCCTCGGGCCTCCTATGGAAGTTGACGCCGAAGACACGCCAGAATCACGGATGCAATTGAACAACGACGCGACAAAGTTCCAACTGTGACTTGGACAACCTAACAACATAACCTCGCTAGAATCCTTCCGGGAGTGTTGCGGAATCCTGATGGGCAAAACAACGGGCCGATCTCGAGGGGCCGATGCTGGTCAGCCATTCGCAATGCGAGCCTGAGCCCTGCTACGGCCTTGCTAGCCTTTCTCCATTGCGCGGCTTACCATTCTGAGATCCCATCCCATGTCCCTGGCTGGCCCATGTGGGACTGGTGAGGTTTCATGAGCCATTGGGGCCATTGGCCTTCTGAGGAGGGAGCGAGTGTGCGATGCGATGCGATGCCCCGGTGCACAAGATGGTTGGTAGGTGACCGTCGCTCATGAGCTTGTCTGGGCCCTTGCAGCCGTCAATGCGTGCTCGACTAGCTCTGGCTCGTACTGTGTAAAGTGTTACCAGGTCAAGGTCCAAGTTCAAGGTTTACCGTGATGTTTGGCAATAGTGCCATGCCGGTGTCTTTTCGTCCAGGCCAGTATTCTCGCCGAGGAGCCTGGAAATCGAAATGATCGTCGGTCTTGTCATCTCCCTTGCTCGGGGGGGAGGCTACCTGAGCGGACGTGCACACTGAACACTGCACGCCAGAAACCCACCCTCGCATCCTCGGTATTCTCTTGCCGGCCTACCCCATTGCGCGAGCCTTGGTAGCGTCTCTCCCCCACTGCTCCACCCACAAAAAGGACGGACCCCGACCCTAACCTGCCACTACGGCCCAACATCATGGATTCCGTCCTCGCTCGCAGATATTGCCAATTTGCCCCGCGTTGGCACACCCGAAGCCCGCGCCCACGCGGCTGTCATACGGGAGGCGAGCCCTGGGTTACACGTGCTTACCCTACCGTACCTTGCCGCACTCATCGACGGGCTTGATGTCCATCATGTCTCAGACCCCTTTGTCCTTGCGGGCAATGGCGTCCCTGTCTCTCTGTCTTTCCTTCCAGCTCTTGGCAGCAAGTCGACATCCACTCGGGCAAAGAAATCTTGACTGTTTCCCCAACACCAACACGACAAAGGCAAAAGGCACGATAGCGTGCGCAATAAAGAACCCGGCACGAAATCCCCGAGCACCTATCTGCTATCAAGCAGTGAAACGGAACCAAATTGCAAGATGCAGAAGAACAGGGAGCCTCCTGGTCATCTCATCCCCACGGCCAATCGCCGACAACTTCCTGGGTCCCCCATTGGTGGTATGATCTGGATAATCATGGAAGGTGAGCTGACGGCCCGCGCCCCAGCGACACATGGCCGCAATAGGTCATGAATGGATCGCCACCAACACCTCACACGCGGGATCGACCGAGTTCAATAATGGACATTCTCTGTGCGCACATGAGAGACGCCACAAGGGAGAGAGCATGCTCGCTCGAGGGATAAGACATTGCGGTACGTGCACGCTGTGCATTGATGTCAGTGACCTCCCCGTTCAAAGCCACTTCGAGCGTTGGGGATGGCGGACATATGAGATGGCGACGGATGATGCACGTCCATGCCCGTTGTGCCACTGCCGATTTGCCCTGCGCCCACGACATCATATCAGGACTTTGCATGAACGTGGGATCTACCAGTACTGGCTAGCGACAGGTGTCTCGCCCATGAGATAATTATAATTACCTGGTACATCAGTAGGTACCTACCAAACTTGAACTACCTTAGTTGATACTAAAATCGATCGGTAATACCCAGGGTTTATCTGCAGCTGTATTAATAGACGTGCAATGCTGTATCTTGATGCATATCTATGTTTCTCAAGCCAGAATCTGGTCCTAATATTTCAGAGCTGGTGGACGATGCAACCAGCTCCACGCGGCGCGGCGCCTAATAAAGCCCCAAACCAAGCGTTACCGACATCGTGGGCCGCGGTGCCCGAAATAGCAGCCAATTCCCAAGCATACAGCGACACATCATGCAATGTGCCGAATCCCGTTTACCCACAACGACGGCGCCTTATCGCGTGCGCGTCTGTGTCTGGTCGTAAGGCCTCGCCTTTCTCTATCTCAAGTTTCTGTAGGCGCAAGCAGATGAGCTGCGCATAGGCCGAACATTGGTTTTGGTCTCCGTGACAGACGAAGCGATTAACTCGCCTCGTTCACATAAAAAGGTCAAAAGTGCGAGCTGCGACGCGGTCCAGCGGCCAAGAATCCCGTTGCTACCAATTGTAGGTATTCATTCTTGTAGTAATGAGTTATTATACCCAGTACTGTTGGTAGTAGCGTTTCTCCTCTCCCCATATATGTTCCATGGTCACTTCTCATATGCGCAGATGCCAAGATTGACGGCGGTGAGAAGAGATGCAGAGCCAGAGAAATTATTCCCATGTGGTGGCGTCTCGCTTTTTTCTCTGTTTCCTTTTCTATGTCATTATGCATAATGGCAGGCTCGGCAACATTAGTCATGTTAGGCAAACAAATTTTTGTATGTCGTATTCACCCGCATGGGGTGTTTGTTGAATGAGGGGGTGGGAATACATGCTCTGTTTTGGCTGCTGGTACGATGGGTGTTTTCATGCCCACTATTCTGTTGGCCCCAGATGCCCAGATAGCCTTCCACGCACTATAGAAATTAGAATTTGAGAAGACCAAGCGTCAAAGGGAAGTCGGGGGTCCGGATGGGATAGATATGCTTGGAGGATAAGAACCAAAGCATTCGTAAACCAGTTTGCGGCTTGAGATGTGGTATGCTGGTGATTCAGTGCCCAGAGAGATCTTGCAGTCTTCGATCGCTGATCAGAGAAGTACGAGGCGCACTTTCGCTAACATATATTACAGCTCCAGACACCAGCTTGTTATCATCTCCAACTACGGCGAAGATGATCAGAGTCGGAGTTATTTTGACTGTCATACAGGCGACTTCCAATAATACCAAAGTAGCAGCTGTTTCTCCAACAAACAGTGCAATTAAACCAAACCGTTTCCATGGGAGATTTATAAACTCGCGTCGTCTTTGCGCGGGTCGAAGTTTGGCAAGTATACAAGGTTCCGAGTCTTGTTGGCATGCTTCCTCATCCGGACATCCATTGATTCATAGTTCAAGCGTCTCACGGGTTCTAAGAATTCGCCCTCTATCAGCACTGGAAAAAAGAAAATCCAATAACTGTTTAGTGATGATTTAATTTGTTCAAATCGGTGGTCGTGGACTCTGGTGCATCAAGACAGCTCGAGGCTACCAGACTTTAGACCATGACCAGAGTATATCGAAACACTGACTGCCAAACGACTCCTTGTTTACAAGCGGCACCAAAGACCCATGCACCCACAGCTTCAATAGCGCAGCCTTCGAACCATAAAACTGATGATTGGCAAGCTCTCATATGCCCACTTCTAACGTCTGATCCCCGTTAAGACTCCAAACTGTCCCCTAACTAACCCCCGCTTCGCTTAATTGTGTGCGTAGTATCCCGTACTGCAGTCTGGTACCCACGAACATGCACCACCACCAGCCTCCATCTTCTCAGGACCCTGGCAACGTCACAACGTCAGCCGGAAATGAGCCCCCTACTCAAACCAAGCCTTGCAAAAATTGAATCACTAAACCATGTCCCCGGGACGCCAAAAAGTAAATGCGCACCCGACGTGGGACTCGAACCCACAGCCTCAAGATTAAATGTCATACGGTGGAAGTATTAGTAGAAGTCTTGCGCGCTACCATTGCGCTAGCCGGGCTTGGGGGGCTTATCGGTTTGATGATAAGCTCTGCGGCTCCATCCACTTATGGTTTTGGCCTGGCTTCCATTCGCTGTTGTGGATAGGTAGGTAATTCTTTCGCTGTGGAAGGATCACAAGATGAAAAAAGAAAGTGCTGAGTCAGCACGCTTATCGATGAAAACTCTTTTTCCACCTCACCTTACCTTAGTGAAGCAATGTGCAATATTCGCAACTGCGAATGTGGATTTTCGTAACACTTTCTCACGCCTTCTTTCGCGTTGGTGGAATATTGTTTGCATCGGGCGAGTATTATCGTCTTCAGCTTCATCGAGCGCTAGAGAGCATGAATACTGTGGATTGTCATTGCGCCTGTCCTGATCCCTAGGTAGTAGGTACTTAACCGCCTTCGCATCACGTATTTACAACTCCAGGAATGCCCCTTCCCCCAACGTGAAAGCACAATGCTGTTCCCAGTCGTTCGCTTCCTTCTTTCTCTAAAATACTCTTCATCACATTGCCAGGTGTAATACCCGTAATCATCGTTAGGAAGTTGGAATGGCCATCGCTGCTAATTTGTCTCAAATTTTCCTCGGCTTGTCTTGCCTTCTCTGCGTCTTGTCTCGAGTCGTCTGCGGGCTGTCCCGAGCTGTCAGAAACGGCACCAAGGTCCGACATCCGCCCGTCAGTCAAGTTAAGGTCCGGACCGACCTGGCTGACTTTTGCTGAATGGCTCAAGGCATGAGGGAGATGAGCGTGCACGGTTGTCCAAGGCATTTCCAGACTTATCTCCTTTGATAACACGGGAAAAGACCGATAGGGAATGGATGAAGTGGTAAAATATGAGAACAAGACAAAGCTATGCTTGTCTTTTTCAGCATGATGCGCAACCTCGCCGTCGTCAGGCTGGACAAGGACCGGCCGACTCAGTGATGAAGTCAATCAGAGTCTAAATCGATCGGACCGTGTACGACGCCCTTCCCCTTCCCCTTCCCCTTCCCCTTCCCCTTGGCCTTGGCCTTGTCCTTTCCCTTGCCGGTATTCCTCGCCAGGGTTTCGTCTGACGAGCTACTGCTGTCTATGAGGATGGAATTCTCCTCGTGCGATCCCTCCGCTTTTACCGGGGGAGTCGATGGCTCGCCTCGCAACGGGGCAATCGATGGTCCAACGTCTGCCAGGTTCTCGCCAGGCAGCGACTCGTCCCCGTTGCTGTCCGCTAGCCGTTCTCGAAACCCTTTTGCCTCCATGATATTCTTGCGGCACACGATTCGGTTGTACTCGTTGACCCATTCTTCGGTCAATCCTTTGCCTTTCACTGTGAGGGAGACAACTGAGTTAGAAAAAAAAAAGGCACGGTTGGGCGTGGGCATGGCGCAGAGACATGGAGGGGAGGACGGGGCATTGATGATAAGAGTGACAAGAAGTGTACCTTGATAGCCGAATAAATGCAACATATTCGCATTCGTCATCTTTCCCCAGCGCTTCCTTCCATGGCATCGCCCAGCGCCTCGGAAGTGATGGGCCGCCCAGCTTATCCTCTCCAGGCCCATGACGAACGGGTGTCGGAAAAAGTGGTGGACGAATTTAGGATCATTGAACCGATCTTCGTCACACCGCACGATGAACCAGCCAGGCCCGAGTTTGGGGTACCGGAAGACATGATCCCACTCGAGCTCGGTAAAATGGATTGATCCTTTCATGGTCTGTTCGGGGAAGTGGCATAAGATGTTAGCATCATATCGCAGCGTATGCCTGACAATGAAGCAGCTCGGTGATGAAGAACCATTGCACAGTGGCGTGGGGGATGTCGAGATGCTCCTGACCAAGTTCTTCTCATTTGGCTCTTCAACATTTGACAGGGGGCTGAAGGCTCTGTCGGCGGAGGGATTGAGGAGCACTCTCGTGTCACTCTGCGGATGGTCAGCCATCGTTCTGTATCGTTTAAAGAAGGGAAAAGTTGAACGGGAGTGGATGGAGACTGGTAGAGTGGTAGACATACGGGATCATGCACGAGCGAACTGATCGTTCCCGAGTTCGAGTTTTTCGCCCTCGGAATCAGAGGCACTTTGATCTTGGGAAGTACATTGCTGGGGTCTGGGTCTCCTGGCAGGATCTCCACGTCCGATTCCCTGTCGGGGTGGCCCGCCGGTGCGACCGTGACGGCAGGACCCTCGCCCGCTGGTCTCGCCGTCGGTGCTGGCGTTGGACCGGCGAAGGCGAGGTTGTTGGGGTACCTGCGGAGGAGGTTATCGGCGATCTGCCGTGCTAGCTCCGCGGTGAAGACCGCGCTTGGCATGATGTGGAGCTCTCCCGGGTTCTGGGCTCTCACTGTGTCCCCCAGTCTTTCCAGACTCTCTGCGTAGCTCGCGAGCTCATCCTCGACTTCGTGCAGGATGTGTCGCTTAAAATCCGCGAACCGTTGGCCGATGTGAGTTTTCCATTGCCGGATGGTCTCCGCGGTCGACGGTTGTTCGTGAACCTCCTCAGGGGGCTGGAGAGCTTGGGGATGTTGAGCAGCGTGGGGCGGCTGGGGAGGTTGAGAACGGTCGAGAGACCGTGGAAGGTGGGCAGCGTGGAGGAAGTCAGGCGACCGTGAGCGCTTGAGCGTCCGGGAGACCTGGGGGGCCTGAGGACTTGGACAACATCGAGCTCCGGTCGGGCTCTTGTTCATATCCAAATCCATCATTGTGAGAATCGGGCAGGAGATCTGCCACCCGGTCGATGGATAATCACCCGTCAGTTGCAATGGGGGAGAAGGATGGTGGGTTACTTTCCGAACGACCGTTCACAGACTGGCAGGGTTGTTGATCATGTCGCCGGTTGAGTCCGGTTTCTCGATGTAGGGATTTTCCCTGATCCGGTTCAAATCTTCCTGGAGGTCATCAAGGGACCCGGTTCAGATCTTCCTGGAGGTCATCGAGGAGGAACCTGAGGGACTCCTGCGAGTCCTGCTGCCCCTACCCGGGGAGATTCTGGTTGGGTTGCGGGACAACGGTAGCCGAGGAGATGATGGGGAAGGAAGAATGGAAATGGAGGAGCTCTGGAGGGGAGAGGAGGGGGAATTTAAGCACGAGAGAACAGGCCCATCCGATCAGTAGAAACGCCAGCGGCCGTGTGGGGCACCCAGTGATCAGAAGCCAAGCGCCACTTTTCTCTCCTGCCTGTTTGCAAAGTGGGAATCTTGGTCAGCAGGGCGTTGGCACGCGATCTTCGTCCGGTCTTTTCGGCAAGGTGGTTACGTGTTCGCATGCCTTAGGTCAAAGTTCAGGCTGGAGTTTCACTTATTGCGCGCTGTTGCAGCGAAGATGGGATGAAAACCCGTGCAGAACCGCGTCCGCCCTTGGTCAGGTACCTAGCATATTCACAAACACCAGCAATTATTAATCAGGTTGAATCTAGACACGAAAACATTGCTATCTCAGTTCAAAATTTGCGATTTCTATACGCAATGTCCCGCCGTCAACCAAACATCTGAGTCCCCCCTTGTCATGAATTAACGATCATGTTCAAGCAAATCCCGACCTATCCTACTGCTCATGTACCAAGTAGCCTACATGTAAATGAACTGTTTGAGGGCGTCGTGGAAGGCGACGTAGCTCATGGCCTTCATGCGTTCCAGCAACTGGGTATCTATGACCCGTCGCTCACTGGACGCAATGCCGTTGATGACCATGGTCTGGATGAACTTGTCGGGAGGGCTCATGCCAAACGAAGTCAGGTGGTGCTGGATGTTATTCACCCGGTGGAAGTAGGCGAGCAGCGACGGGAAATCGTCGAGCTTCGCGTGCATCAGCTCCGTGATCAAGTCGAACTTCATCCGCTCCATCCGGTTCGTGGAGCCGGGTACGACAGCAAGGATGGCGTCCCAGAGCTGCTTGGGCTCGAAACCGAGTTCTCCTCCGTCGACGTCATAGCCCGCGTGCTTCAGGACGGGAATCATGGGCTGTATCGAGTTTCTGATCATGCAGTACACCGAGATGTGGGCCCGCTGGTACCTGGGGTTGCAGAGCTGGGCCGGTTTCGGATCTTGCAGAATGTGGTGCATGAGATTCGAGTGGCTTAGGTTGATCCGGATCGTAGCGATCCAGTCGGTAAGTTTCCACTCGCCCACCAAGATGGGAACGGAGTGAACGATACGGACCTTGCCTACACCAGGTCCAAGGCGACGGGTCCACCACGGAGCGGGCATATCGTCGACGAAGGGGTCCTGTCGGCGAGAACGTTCAAGCACTGTGTATCATGAAATTTGTCAGCATCAGTGCAATCGCGAGAAAATGAAAGAAAATACTTCAAACAGCTGCAAACTTACGGTGCTTCACTCAGGGGAAGCCGAGCAAGGACTAGGTCAAAAGCCTGAGCGTTTTATAGTAAACCGTGGGTTCCGAGCTTGAAGGGTTGCACGTTCGTGAGGAAGGAATTGAATGGGACGTTTGAATGGGATGTGCTAGCTGGCCTGCAGTGGTCCCGGATTGAAAAAAGAGGTAGGCGCTGAGATGGCAACGATGCTTTTTGATAGTAAAGACGGTGTCTTTCAGCTGTGGTGCTCTAAGAGGAGGGCAAAAATGGCGGCAAAGTGGTGGCCAAGGCATTGCTTTCCAGTTGCTGTGCTCGCTGAAGAAAAGAGGATTGGCGGCCAGATAGCGGCCAGGTTTTCCGAGAAATAAAGAACGGCAGCAAGGCGGCAGCGGTGCTTCTTGGCGGATGGGACGTTCCTTTTCGGTTGTGGTACTTGCTGAGAGCTGAAAAAAAGCTGTGATGGTAGCAGGGTATTTTTCTTTTTTCGAATTGGCAGCCGAGTATGTGTCTTTATGGTGCTTGCCTAGCAGAAGATGAGCGGCAGTAGTGAGGTGGTAGCGGTGCTTTTACTGGTCAAGGTGGTGGTTTTAAGTTGCCCTGGCTAGTGAGGGAAGAAAAAATCAGGCGAGGTGGGAGCAGCAGCAATCGTTCAACAGCGAGGCGGGGCTTGCTGAGGAAAAGAAGAACGGCGAGGTGGTAACGGTCCTTGTTGGCGATTGAAGTCG